GAATTACTACGGTGCAAAGTATAGTAACTCACAAATTACCGTAGATTGAATCATATACAAAAAAAAAGATATAAGTCTTCTCTTTTTTTTTAGTGTGAGAATCCATTAAATCGAATTCATACTAATAACATATTTTCTTTTTTTTGAAAGTCATAATGTAAGCATCAACTAATAAGCGAAAAGGAGAGAACATCATAATCATAATACAGAATGCACGGCCTACTGAAACCAAATTGTCGAGACAGGCCCATACACACAAAAATAAAAAACTTAGGCATGATCAGAAACAAGTCGAAATGCTTCATGAGTTGGATGTTGACATCTCTTTGCTAATCAATGATATCATCTTCGATCCATCTCGGTATCGAATCCAATCTGCCACCCGAAAAATATCTGCTAATGATAATATTTATTATTTGGAGAGGGAGTGGACAAGTATTCCCCTCTGCTCTTCAGATCGGATATCAACCAAAAAAAATAAGACTCGGTACGACATATCGGCCAGAGAATTGCTAATTGAAACTCTAATTAGAGAAGCAAAATCCTCTGACAGTAACTCTTTTGAGTTGTCCGAGATTCCGTCAAACTTTCTCTCTCTGATCTATACTGACATTATTAGAGAGACCGATGTCGGCATTGAGGGATCATCGCCTAATACCACTAATAAGCGATTGTGGGTTGCTTTCGGCTAGTAGCTAGGCTTAAAGAGGCAGGATGGTTTATTAAAAAGAAAGCACATATGATAGCACCTTAGGTTGTTATGAAAAAAACTCTGGTACGCTCATAATATCCAAAGTGATAGGGACTTTCAAGATCTTTTTGACATAGCTACTGCTTTTAATACTCGAAGAGAAAAGGCACGTCTGATTATATCAGCATGTCATAATCCCCAATCGATAAGTGAATTGGTCCAATTCAAATATATAGCGGAACCAGAGTGCATTACAAATCTAAGTGGCCGAACATTGGTTCACTTAGAGCAACTCGATGACTATAATGCCGTTATACTTGCAACCAATGCTGTAAATAATTATTATTTCCATATGTTGAAGCATCTATTATATCGAAGCGACGAATTTTGGACCAATTTTATCGAACATTTTGGGGCTTATACCAGAAACAACTTGCTCCCTTTTACAAGCTCCAATACTGCAAGTACGCATAATGTTGATCACCATGAATGCATCAACAAATTACTTCAAGGTCTCAAGGTATTATCAGACTGTGTCAACTGGTTTCTCCGAGACTATTATGGAGATTTATATACGAAATTGAGCAGGCTGTTATGGGGTCCATTTGCGCCGAAGCCCTTTGGAGTTTTCCCAATAATAGCTATTAATTTTAATACCACTAGTGACTATCATTGGGATGAGCATGACAAGGCAAATAGTTTATGTGTCTTAGTTGCACTAGAGGATTACGAAGGAGGAGAGTTATATTTTCCTCAGCTCCAAATGGTTGTACATCTTAGGCCAGGACAAATCGTAGCATTTGCCTCACATTTATTACTTCATGGTAATTTTTCAGTTACTAGAGGGATCCGGCATAGTGTTATTTATTTCGTACATGATATATTTTTCCACCATTTACAGGATTTTACTAAAGCTTATATTAAGGCTAGAAAAGGATAATCAGGACATTAATTATGCAGTAGTTCAGCGCTCTGCATCTTTGAGAGGTAGGTTTACCTTC